TAATAATATTAATAACGTCTTAGCATTATTGTGTACGTTTTGGTCACTCGTTATGGTCCGTGAACCAGTTGCCAGCGCAAGCGGTTGAAGAGGACGGTTTAATTTTTTAAGCCGTGTATCAAAGATTCTCCAAGTTTTCTTATTTCTTGAAGGGACGTTGTGCTTTTAAATTTGTCTATTTACCGGTTATTTTATTCGCATCAACGTATGATTATAAATAAAGATCGTCGTGAAGGATGATGATGATCGAAACTGGATTTGTCGAGACGAGATTCATATATACGAGTTTCACGGTGTACCAAGTGAGGAGAACGTGGCTATTATATGTCGACGCGCGACGACCGTGAGAGGCTCATTTTATCTCGTACAAGGATTCCTCGTTCGATATTATTCGCCTTCCACCTCGATACGCATCGCCAGTATTAGTCGCCTCCTCGGTTTCTGTAAATGGGGAAACAGCCTTTAGGCTAGTCCCCCCATGAATATGCCAACGATTTCGAAATAACAGTTATTTTGCACGATTACAGTTTAAAAAATTATTTAAAAAATTGCATGGAAATTACGATTTTTATAAGATGTTGAATTGATATTGTCGGTAGTAGTTTATGTATAATTAACGGTGTATTTAAATTTCGAGAATCTTTTGAGTTCGAACACTTAGAATTATCAGTTATACTTTAGAGATTTTATTTTAAGGATTTTATCTGAAGTTTTTGTCTTCAAGAATAATAGTATTAATTTTTAATCGCGCCCATGTCCTTTTTGTATTACACGGTTAGTCTTTTAGCGGCTGCTCCTGTATTTCTAAAAGCGGCATTGACCCACTTACAGCTACATTATATTAAGGACACACCGGTGAAACCACTTATCGCTGGATTTTTATATTTTCAAGGATCTTTAAAAAATACCGTTACATATTTCCTTTTTTGTAAAATCTCATAAATATCGTGTTACAAAGTAGTCTTACAAGATATGTTACCTCCCTTCCTCTTCCTCTAAAAAAAAAAGTCGATACCAATCGAATGAAATATTTTTCTGGCGAGAAATTTGAAGTTCCTGACTGCGAAGCGTGTTAAGTAAAACGGCGATTTAATACGCTTCGTATTCGGTTTCCCGCTAGGCGTTGCGTTCGCACCCGTCTGGACTTCCCCGTTTTTCGCCATGCTACATCCTCTTCTAAACAGGCCGTCTAACGAATCACGGACGCTCTGTCGGGTCTTTCTTCCTTTCTTTCTCTCACGCCGGCCGCGCAAGCTGTGTGTGTTAGGGGCTTTTGTTGCATGCCGAGTGGGCTTTAGTTGACGAAATATTGACATCCGAGAATAGAAACCCGTTGCGAGCTGTGCAGAGGGGGCCCACTCCGCCCCGATTGCCGTTCAGCGGGGAAGACAGAAGGGGAGAAGGAATATACGGCCAGGATAAGGGAGAACAGAGAGAGCGTCGAAGGGAAAAGGCATCGGTTCGACGAGTGAGTCTCTCCCTCTCTTTCGTCCTCTATCTTTTTCTTCCGCACCCTTTCAACATCTCTCCCTCTTGTTCGTTTTCCCTTTTTTTCTCTCTCTCTCTCAGACTTGCATTCAGCACAAATTTAAAGGGGGTGGGACTTTGATGACGTCAACCTTCGAAATGCTCCCTGTACGTGCTAT